CAGGAAAAAAAGGAAAGACAGTAGACAGGGGCATCATCTAACCTATAAGAGGCCTGCATCCAAACCTCTCGTGAAAAGTCGACCAGGTGCGAACTCCCACTGTGTGGGGAAGAATGGCCTCCACCCATTCACGAATCCCTTCGATAGGTGGCGGGGGAAATCTCTCAGCTGCAGAAAAATAGAGCATTTTAGCATTCACAGAAAATGGTCAAACATTTCATTAATTAAATACGCAAACTTACAGGCAAAGTTCCATCTCTTGGGGAATCCCGTCGGGTGCACCACAATATGCACGGTCCGCGCATAAAAATAATTTTCATAGAAAGGACGATTGATTCTGTCATCCATCTTCACCACCAGGCCCCTCGATCCTCGAGGATGCACGTGAATCATCGTACCTCGAATCAGTTGTGGAGAAAAAATGCTAAGCATATGGCCCAAAGTGACCTCACAACCGGCAAGTTCCGCATACTTAAGCAGCATAAGAAACAACTTGTACAAATAAGGTGAAAGCTGAGCAGGGTAACCTCATAGTGACGGCAAAAGTCTACCACCAACATGGGAAGAGGAAGTGTGTACCCTACAATAAAGGGGTAGGCGTAGAACACACAATGTCTGGGGCGGTCGAAGTGAACTCTGTCGCCCCCTCCGCCGGCCGCATCTCGACGAAATCGGGGATTCCCCACCATTCCCTCAAATCTACAATTCCCTCTCTCACAACGGAAGTGACAGGTTCCGACTCCACTCCACTGCCGAAACTGTAGTCAGTCGCGTCCCTCCCGTGGCGAGGTAGAATTTCATCTACCGAGGGAACCTCCTCATCCTCCGCCGCATCCACTTCTCTTGCGATCTGAACAGAACTCTCTGGCACCGGATTAACGATAGGGAGATTATCATGAGAAGAATCGCCAGCCATTTGTAGTAAGAAAACTCTCCAAGATGCGATACGAAGAAAATATGAAAGGTTTCAGTGAGCAAGAAGGTAAGCAAGAGTTCGAGGTATCAGAGAAAGTGATATCTTAAGAATTCTCTCAAACGAATGTTGAAGTGTATTAATCAAATAACAAGTTCCCCTATTTAATAAGAGACATAAATTCTCCAAGAACGAAACCCAAGAGTCGCCATTTGAATTTGATGGGGAACGAAACGTTTCAGTTTCCCAGGAATGTGTGTCATAATGGTGGCATACATGAACCAACGCTTCATTTACCAAACTAGCGTTTCGATTCCGAAACCATCGCAATGGTCCGCGAGTGCCAAAAGAACACCTCCACTCCGCCAAAAATTCCACAGAACGCGACTAAGGAATGCAAAATTGGGGGTCAGATTCCTCTCGACTACGCTGCAAACATGATCCGTCCGTTGAGCCCGACAAAGGACGACGCCGACGGACGGAGGGACTAACTATATTGGTCAAAATCTTACCGCCACGACCAGGTTACCCACAACCCCTTTTTAGCAATCGGGTAGTGGAAGTCAATAGGGTCCACTTCATTTCTCCTCCAAGATATCCGACACATCGAAAAGAGCAATGCCTTGAGTCACGACCAGAACGCACCACTGACCCAAGCGCACCAAATCACGGTAGGGATCAAGAGGTTTCGACTATATATACAGCCCAAGAAGGCTTTCAAAAGGAGGGGGGCTTCTCCAGGGTTATCTAGAAAAATAGAGCTAAGAGCTCATATTTGGGATTCAAAGAAAAAGCAATTGTAGCTCTCTCTCCTTTGAAACTGAGGTGAAATGCAATATTGAATCTTAATGAAATTGGCGATGTCTTGTTCACCTCCGATATATTCATCATTACGAAGTTTCTCGGTCTGGAATCAATTAAGTTTGACTATGATTTACCCCTTCATCTTTGATTGATTTGTTCAAAGAGGTTTTAATATCTTTTGAGTCAAACAATTTGGCGCCGTCTGTGGGGGTTTCCTAGTGAAAACTCCTAGTTTTTCCCAGATCAAAGCCGAGAAACACGATCATTCACCGAAAGAAGCACGAAGGAAGAATCTAACTCACGCGAGACATAAATACAACACGTTAAGAGAAGGAAAACCGAGTGAGTCCACTGAACCCGGAACTCCTCGCACCATCAGCTGCAAATCTTCTAAATTTTGACAAACGGTACTCCGGAACCAGCTCTCCCTCACCGAACCACCGGACGGGAGCGAAGAAAACCTCACCATCACCTCCTACCCTCCGCTAGGGCAAGCACATAAGGCCCTCGCGAACGAACACAAGGGCATCTAGATGAAAAAAAAAGTACTTCGATACAGCCAAAACCCTCCCAATCGGCAGCATCTCCCAAATGAACGGCCGGAGTCAGGCAAGAAAGCTATAATGCACATACAACGCAAGCCTATATGAAATGCTGACGCCTCCTGTCCACCAACGTTGCACCCTCTGATGCAAGCAACACCAAACAAACTGGGATTCCAATGGAGGATGCCCAACTCTCGAGAAACTGGGACTGACGACGGGTTGTTATTTCTATAGTAACTATTACGTTTCAAGAGTCATTCAATGTTAAGGACGAATTCTAATAGTTACTTATCAAAGTAGCTTGAAAAATATCTACAAAGGCACCCAAAGAAATAAGAAAAAATATTCTAAACTAAAATTATAAGAAGATCGATTTAAGTTAGGACGAATTAAAGACAGAAAACAACTAGTAACTACAATTTAAGATATGTAAAACTTTTTAGCTATAACTATTTTAATCAAATGATTTAAAAATTATATCAATAGTGCATATATATANAAAAAACAAAATTATTTATCCTTGTCTACCCCTTTGTTTTCCTACCCATAAACTAATTACATTTCCTACCCATAGTAGGTTTTGTGGGGAGTTTTTTCTTTATTCTCCAATTCTTTTTTATTTCTATGCTTCTTCTTTTTTTCTCCTTTTCTTTTTTCTCGTTTTCTTCTTAATTTTTCTTTTTTCCTTTTCTAATATCATTTAACTTCTTTTTCTCTTCATAATCTAATTTCATTTACTGTTTTCACTTTTTTTTATATTATTACTAAAGAAAAATCAAATTGTGTACCAATTAAATGTACACAATTAAATGTAGCTAAAATTAACTAACATATGATACCAGTATAATATATAGTTATACCAACATGGTATACAATTGTACGCAAAGAGTTAAAAAAATGTAATTCAATTATTAAACTGAAATAATATCAGTTGTTAAAAAAAATTTAAAAACTTCTAAAAAGATCTAATTATAAGAGTATATCGTTACATCATATAGCATACTATAATTTGTTTTTTTTTATTCTTACATTTCAATTTGCCCCTCATGCTGAGTAAAAGCTTAAAACAAATTAAAAGGGAAAAGACAAGTGAATTTACCGGTAATAAGTATACTATTATAGTATATTGTATATTATTACATCATATTGTTATAGTATCTTACATATTATTATAGTATACCATAACAATATATTGTATACTATAATAGTATACTGTTGTAGTATAACTATATACTCCTATAATATATTAGTATACTGTAGCGGTATACTGTTTTGTAAACTATAATAGTGTACTGTTGCAGTATAGCTATATACTCCTACAGCATATTGTATACCGTAGCGGTATACTGTTTTGTAAACTATAATAGTGTACTGTTGCAGTATAGATATATGCTCCTACAGCATATTGTATACCGTAGCGGTATATTATAGCTGTGTTCTTCTTCGATTTTCAACTGAAAATTTCGATCTCAATCACCTCAAATCAGCTCCAAATGCTATCAAATTTCAGTATGAACTTCCAGAAGGTACTATAAGAAATATTTAAAAGCACCCACTTTGAACCAAACAAGAAATCTTCAAAAATAAAATTGAGCTTCAAGCCCAAGAATGGTGTATATTCTTAGTAATCCTTAATGGGAAGATTCTCAAAGGATGATATTAGCATGGGACCATGCAAATCAATTGGTGTTAGCTCAAAAAAAAAGTCAATTAATGTGTCTCTGCGTCTAGGGTTGAGTCAAAAACCCATGTAGAGTTTTTTTCCCAGAAAGTCGATAAAGAGGATGATTGCCTCTAATTATTCTGTTGTTGACTTAGTAGCACCTGGTTCTTCAGGGTCGCTAATTATATGTGGATTCTTGGAGTCTTCCTATTTCGTCAATTGAGGGGTCTAGATTACAGATGAACCTTATTGCTTTGATATTTTTTCATCGCTTTCATCTTTGGCAAAGCAGAGACTGGAATTAGCGGGTAAATAATTTGGGCCCGGTAGGAGTAATAAATAATTTGGACATGGACATTGAAAGATAAATAGTTTGGAATTAATGGGTATAAAGTGAGATTTTCTCAAATATTTTAGGGGCCTAAGGCCATTGCCTTAGTAGCCTTAGGCTCCAGCCGACCCTGCCTTGAACCATTAGCAGGTTGTTTTTTCTCTCGCTGTACTTGTGAAATTTTACAGCCTTTTTTTGTTTTTTTTGTTTTTTGTCATTATATCTTCCAAAAGTTACCTATAAAATATACAGATTTATTTGTCAATGACTATGATAATTCAAGGCTATATGTTTATTTGCATATTTTCTACTTGCGTTTCACTTTTTTCCACAATTTATTTTTTACAAAATAAAAGAAACAAGATTAATACATAGGACATGCAGTTATACTTAGCTGATAGTGTAAGAAATCAGTTGGTGTATAGAAGTTAATTTCCTTATATATGATCTCTCAACCATCTCATATTTACCACAGCGCCTCGTTCGTGAAGTTTGAGGACAATAGTAATCTACTTAGTGCAACTTAGTAGCACAACATTTTAAATTTTTGTTGTACAGTCAGATTTCTGTATAACAGCATCGCTATATAACAATCATTCACCGTAAAAGCTAATTTTTAATGGAACCAATTTTTATGTTATGTTATGACCTCTCTATAACAACATCGCTATATAACAATCATTTACAGTAAAAACTACTTTTTAATTGAACCAATTTTTATCCTATGTTATAATATATGTTCTCTATAATAACACTTTGTTATAATAGCCAAAAAAAATCCAGAACAAATGAGACTATTATAAAGAGGCTTGACTGTATATAAGCATTCATATTCTAAGTGGATGATTACTGAAAGACAGGACATCCAGGGACCTGTATACCAGGTGCAGTAGGACAATGTGCCAAAGGGCAGTGATCATCTAAATTTAAACCCCACCAATTTGCCCCATTTATATCTCTAATTTGCAATGTGAAATAAGCAAGTATGGCCATAAATGCAACCCCAGCATCAAGTCCTGCTGATAGAATGTAATTGTGCCTAGCCCACCAACTTTTGTATTTCCTGTACACATAGAAGTTGAAAAACAGCCCAACCGATAACCAGCCGATGTAGTTCACTGCCCTAGCCGGTGGCATTCCTCCTGAACCTGATACAGAGACAGATTCAGAATTTAAATTTCATAAGTTTAGTTTTTAGATTTTTTTTGTTAGTGTCGAAAATGCTGGATTCAATACTGACCTGATAATAATACAGGCATGTTGATGAGTCTAATCCACTCCTGATCAGGGAATTTGCGCGAGAGAAGCCAAACGGGGACAGGCGCTAGAATGCCTATTAGGAAGAAGTAGTTTACATTGGTGTATAATCCTAGTTTTCCAAACATCCTTAGAGGACCAACAACACCCCAAATAATCGAGGCACTGTAAAATACATCATCTCCAGGGCAAGTCCACGGGCTTCCCTCAGGCAATTTTGATGGATTGCAGATGTTATCCACTGTATCGAGGAGCCACCAAGCCGTCCCAAAATAGACTGAGGATGCCACTACAGTTCCTACTAGCTTTATCATATTAAGAAAATTTATAGACGACAAGTGTTAGTCCACCAATCGTGGCATAAGATAGTCGTATATACTCTTAAAACGTAACGTACCTGAACAATGAACATGGATTTTGGAGGGATCTTCATGTAGTGGCCTAATTTGAAATCAGCAAGAAAAGATATAGCTTGTGACACGCTGATTAATCCGTAGGTTTTGAATGTTACATTGGCTAATGGTTTTCCAGGATACATGTAACCTATGATGAGCTCCGAGATGACATTTATTCCTGGTGCCTGTATTATAAAGATTTCTAAACAAAACCAAAGGTGCAGTTGTTGGATATTGAAAAACAGTTAATGGAACGTCGTGAGAGTAACCTGGTTCGTTGTAGCTGTTATTACAGCGATTGGCAGGGTGAAAGTTAGAGCTAAAGCCATTGCTAAAATGACTCCCCAATAAGGAAGCTGCAATTGTCTACCAAATCCCTCAGAAGCAAGCAATGACAGTCCAAGAACCACTATCAAGATTGTGTAAAACCACCATTGAGGAACAGGCTCATAGTTTTTCTTCATTATCCTTGTATGAACATCCTCAAATTTCTCTTGGAAAGATCCCTTTGTTTGTTCCCAAATTGTCCTAAACCATACAGTGCATAAACACATGACATTACAGTCCGGTGCATTAAGCTCCCGCTATGCACAGGGTCCAGGGAAGGGCCGGACCACAAGGGTCTATTGTAAGCAGCCTTACCCTGCATTTCTGTAAGAGGCTGTTTCCACGGCTCGAACCCGTGACCTCCTGGTCACATGGTAGCAGCTTTACCAGTTATGCCAAGGCTCCCCTTCATATAACTAGAAATATGTGTTGCTTTAAATTAAGGTAGAAATAAGGAATTGTAATACCTTCCATGGAAGAGAGCAACATGAGTGACAGTTGCAGCGAGCGTTGCAAAGCTTAAGCCATAGGTAAATACAAAGAATATGCTCAAATGAACTTGGCTGTAATGATCATATCCTTGCTGATTGAAATCAAAAGTTTCCTTATTGAAGATTCTTGTGAGGTTGTATGCTTGTCCATCTGAATCAAACAAGTGAGAGGAGAAAATTGGGAAGCGTTTGACGTGGAACATGTCGGTCCAGTAGCAAAATGGGATGGCTATGTAGACAATTAGCATGAAACCAACCAAAGTGTTCATAACAGCAAAACCAGGTGTGGCTAATGGACTTCCTAAAAAACCAGCCACAGTAGACCAATCTAGAGCAAACGAACCGATTCCAAGTCCCTTTAAACCGGACCCTAGTTGTTGCGCTGTCACTGAGTCCTTCCATATCCAACACACGAATGACAGAGCTGTTATCGATGGGAATAGATAGTTAGGGACGATGTAATAAGAGAAGCTTGATACAAGAACCACAATGAAGAATTGCAGCCTTGTCAAGCCTCCTTTTGGCCTCTTCTCAACGTCGTGCAATGCCCTACAAGATTCAAATCAAGTGAACTTTAGATTTCATAAAACAGAATTGCGGTAAGGGAGTAAGAAGAACAAAGCAAAGAGTGAGAGAAAACACCTAAACAAGGAGACTTGAACCAAATTGGAAGGCCACCACATGTATGGCGAATCAACTAAAAACTTTCGGAATATACCAGCCCATCCATATCCAAGCAACTAAAATTCAACATTCCAACAATAGCAACATCAATTATCCAGGACCAAAACGCGCAATAATAGAAAGTAATGAAACCATTATGGGGTGTTTGGCACTTTTTAGCTTATCTACGCGTTTAGTAAACACCAGTATTACTTTTAAGCCATAAACAGCCAAAAGCAGCATATAGAAGGCTCAAGAAACAGTTCTAAAGAAATCTTGCCTGGGTAGTATGTGTCAATAACAAAGCTGCAAGAGGGTGAATTTGGCTGCCGTAAAACGCCTTTACTATGGTAATAATGCTAACAGCATAAACACTAGTTGCACCAGCATTGGCGAAAATGGTAATAAGAACATGTTCTTTCAAGTTAAATGGCCCTGGATTCAAAGAAAACGACCACTTTGTCGCTGGAATTTGGATTATTTTGGTGGGAAAATAAGCAGCCATAAGCTTTCCAAGGGGAAGCACCAAAATCTGAGCAGAGACAGAGGAAATATACAGCGTGTTTTGGCGATAACCAAAGAACTGATTCAAGAATGCCAAGATTGCACATGATGTAATCCCTAAAGCCCATGTTCGAAACGTTAAGCAAGGCAAAGATGGATCATCTGTTGTTGGCACTGTTAGTCTAACTTGCTCTATTGGTGAATCATTCACTACTTCATCTGTAAACAAAATCTTCTTTTATTTAAGTAAACCTTGAACAGATATATACATAATGATAATTGGTTCGTATAATATTGAGCAGAGTTTAAATTACCTGAAGATTCAGTAATGAGTTTCTTGGGCTCCATAGGTTCAAGCAAAGAGAGTATTGACTCAGAAACAAGAATAATCTAGTTAGTAAAGCAAGTACACATAAATAGTACCTTAATTATCAGGAACATAATTTGTCAAGTAACTCATATTGTCAGACCTCTCTACAATAGTATTCCTATATAACAACACTTTACTATAAAAACCAAACTTTTCAGAAAACCAATTTTTATGTTATATTATAATATATGTTCTCTATAACAACACTTTGCTATAACATCCAAAAATATTCGGAACAAACGAGAATGTTATAGAGATGTTTGACTGTAGTAATAATTTTGGGTTGTTTGTCCATGTTAAAATCTGAATATAGACAATTTAGTGCGCATGCTTTAAATTTACTCTGTTATATCTGTAGCTAAATATGATGAACTGAATGTCCACGTTTACCTTATCTACATACATTATAAAAGACAATGTTGAGTAATGGTTGATTAGAATTCAAGCTTTACCTGTTACTTTTTTCTTATTCTATATACTCCTTTCTTAAGGTTCTACGCCTAACTATTACTCTATCGACCCAAAATTTATTTGACAGCCAATAGCTCTTGTGGTGAGAATAGCCAGTTTATAAGGAGAAAATAGATCATTCTCTCAATCAAGATGGGACACTTAACACCGCCGTACCGCCGTACGCACAAGACTGAACATATGGTGCATGAATAATATAAAATAGGCGCCCAACATTGGGTAAACCAAGAATAAAGATAGTTTGGCCCAATACCATATTAAGGAAATCGACCTTAAGCCTGAATCAACTTCAAAAGTTAGCTCATGAGGTAGGTATTACTTAGGAGTTAGGACCATATAAGAAAACAGCTCATTCTCTCGACCAATATCGATCACTTGACATTAGTAGTAATATTTTACTCCCTCCGGTCACTTTTACTTTGCATGTATACTAAAAATAGATGTTCACTTTTACTTGGCACTTTACGCATATCAAGAAAAGACAACAAATTTTTTCCCGTTTTACCCACAGTATTTATTATCATTTCAAATCATTTTCTCAAATCCAATAAAATATGCATTAATTAATATGGGTAACTTGGTAAATTATGCACTTCATTTATTTTTTCTTAAGGGGCGTAAAAAGTCAAAACGTGCGAAGTAAAAATGACCAGAGGGATTACTTTACTACTGCTTCTTTTATACTATAATATAAATGAAATGAATGTCTTAAATTTTGTGCTCAACTAAATAATGGCACACAAAATGAGATGGATGTGAATTAACTATTACTTTGCTTTCACGTGACATATATACATTCAATTATTTAACAATAAAATGCTTTTTGTTTTAAACTTCTAATTTGAAATCTCACCCACAACTGTGTACTGAATTTGTGAATATCAGTCCAGTAAGTAGACAGGCCAATTGTGGGGACAAAAACATTAGCCTACAATTCAGTAAGAGACAGAATAAAGAATGGCATTGCAGGAGTAGCCAATTTACCTTATACTGCGTTTGTTTCCTTTTCTACAATATACTGAAATCGTATGCATCTTCTCGAGCGGAAATAAGTCTCGTCTTCGTCTTATTGTGATGTCATCTCTATTAAATTTGCTATTCCTAATATTATTGCTTCTGTCTTCCAACTATCTAAGACCGGATTCAATAACAGCTTCTGCCCCTGTTGATTTTGCACATTTTATCATGTATCTTAATATCAATACATTTCATACTCACTCAATCGTGAGAAAATGACGATTCAATTGTTATATTAGTCATCAATTATGCACATTATGCAACCCAACATTATTTCCTCATATTAGTGTTGGGATAGAAATAAACACGGTGCATGCGAAAGCTAACAATTCAAAGTTTGATGGACGATAAATCAGAGTATAAGAAATATATACTAAACTAGGCATAATAATTTATTATGATTTGATCAATCGTATTCATCACTAATATAAAAAGAGAAAATAAAATTTTTGAGAGAATAACCTCCCCTAAATATGATTCTCGTAAAAACTACACTGCGGAGGTTGTTTTAATAATTGTTGTAAGAAATGATCTTTTATAGAAGTGTAAAACTTTTCCTCCAAGAAATGAATAAGACATATGAAGGAGATTTATTATTTTTAAGAGTCTTTTTCTCTTCATTCAAGAAAGAGAGTCCTAATAAATTAAAAATTCAATACAAAATCTTTATAACTACTCCCTCCGGTCCATAATAAGTGATTTTTTGGCTGTTTTCATGGAGATTAAGAAATTCATCTTTTAACATTAATTAGCAATGAAATTGACCATATTAACTCTTACTAGCTCTTTACATAAACACTCCTAGCACATATTCCAACACTATTTACTCCAAGGACAATATAGGAAAAAAATAATTAATTCATTCTTGAAATCTGAAAAAATCACTTATTTTGAACTATAAAAAAAAGAGAGCAGAAAATCACTTATTGTGGACCGAAAGGAGCGACAGAAATATTTGGTTGTTTTTTTTACGTCTTACAAGTCGTTGTCATAGTGTCTCTGGTTCCAGTCTTGAAAATGAGAAAAATTCAGATAGGAAGCATTTCCTCTGTATATGGTGTGAACTCAGATTAGTTGATACCGAGCGAAAAACACACACACAAGTTGCTGCCTCTGTCTATGGCCTATGAAAGTTGCGGTGGTCCGTGCAGCGTGCTGCCTGTCCCTCTGGCCAACAAAAGCGGCGGTTCATTATTTGCAACCCTCCAAATTCTGCTTAATTTGTTGTTCATATAGAAATTCGAATTCTATTTTCCTGCAATTATTGTTATTAAATTGTATATAGAAGAAACGAAAAATTAAAGATTCACTCCTAACATCAAATGCTTAAAATACTAGGTAATGTGTACATAGTGTAAAGTTAAAATAGCATGACTAGACTAGACTAGAAAATACTAGGTATTCAAGATTGCAAATTAATCACACCAGCACTCTCCCATAGAAGAGAGAATGAACCGAGACAGATTCACGATTTAAATTTTATCAATTTTTTATGTTATTATAACCTGGTTGTTGCTATTGTCTGTTTATTACTTTATTTTCCTTTTTTTTGAACGGAGGATCTTTAAAAAAAAACCTTTCTATCTTCATTATGTAGGGGTAAGGTAGACCCCACTTGTAGAATTTCACCGAACTTGTTGTTATTTTTGTTATTTAACATATTGCAGTTTTATAATTATGAGTTCAGAATTTAATGAATTCATCCGTCAATGATAGAGAATCCAAATAGCATGACCACACTAGGAAAAAAAAAATCATAATTTTGTATCTATATAAGTCCGCACCGTTCCAATATTTTTAATTATTCACCCCACAAGTTGCTGAATTAAACATTGGACCACCTCTCAGCTCATCTTCCCAATGAATCTCACATGTTGTAATTCAACAACTAGTAATTCTTTTAACTCCTGCAGAAAAGGTGGCCTCTCTGTTCGTCAGTACAATGTTTATGTAAATGAATGAATTATTATACTCCCTCCGGTCCAAAATAAGTGATTTTTTGGATGTTTTCACACAGATTAAGAAATTCACCTTTTAGCATTAATTAGCAATGGAATTGACCGTATTAACCTTTACTATCTCACATAAATACTCCTAACACATATTCCAACACTATTTACTCTAAGGATAATATAGGGAAAAAAAATTTAATTAATTCTTGAAATCTGGAAAAATCACTTATTTTGGACCACAAGGAAAATATCAAAAAATCACTTATTTTGGACCGGAGGGAGTAATAGATAACAGAGCAGTAGGATGTTGGAATAATACAAAGCACCATTCAATAGGTATTTTGAGCAAATCAAAGAGTATTCAGAAGATCGCATTTTTCAAGAATATTGAAGCTGAAGTTACACAGAGCAAATCATGGACCATAACCAATCCAAATGTATGCTATATCTTTAATTAGAACTTTATAAGGGCAAAGATCAACTGTAGCCGCTATCGAAACTATTTATATTCGGTAGCTGCAAAAGTGTATAAAATTTGCATAGTTTTTTTTTTGTATATATATTCGGTTATTATTTTAAGAGAATATACAATGTCATTTTTTTAACTTACAATAAAACAAATGAATTATCTCAAAGTTTGTGTTATCGACCATAAAGGCTACATATAATTAGTAGAAACAAATTAGACGTAAAAATTTGAAGAATTAACCCAAATAGTCGTCCACCCAACTGCTTAAACTAAAAAATAGCCGATAGATATATAATATATGTATTGTATGTGTATAATTATATATAATCAATATTGTATAGGAATATACAGTATCATTTTTCCAACTTACAATAAGGACATAGTTATTATCTCAAAGTTTGTGGTATCGACCGTGAAGACCCATACATATAATTAGTAGAGGCAAAGTAGACGTAAAATTTTGAATATTTAACCCAAATAGTTGTCCACTCAATCACTTAAACTAAAAATAGTATATGAATATATAATATATGTATAATTTATGTATTATATGTGTATAATTGTCTATAATCAATATATAATCTATGTATATGGCTAGAAAAGTAAACAATGAATATGACATGCTATTTATGTAAATATCCCAAAATTTTCACAGGACAGTTTTTGCACAGTGTCATTTAAGGTTTGACCACTTTTTAAATTTCTTGCAGCAATAGCCATTTAAGTTCAGTTCCCGAGACTGAAGTTGGCTCTACTCTAGAACAAAAGAGCTGGAGTGGAGGATAACTTTAGACAAAAAATTAAAGTTGGCCTCAACTTTGTAGCTTTGTTCTGAAGTTGAACTTGAACTGCAGACCTAACTTCTCCCCATGGACTGAACTTAGGCTTAAACAGAGTCCAAATTCAGTCTCAATAATAAGTGACCAGAAGTTAAAAAAAATGACTCCGCCTAATATGGCGTTGTGCAAATAGGTTATTTGTGCACTTCGCCCAAGTTAGGCTCGATAATAATCCATAATTCAGGATTTAAATCCTATGGCTTCAATTTTTTAATTTTTTTAGATTGAACAATTATATTTTTAAAGTTATAGTTTTTTATATAATATATATATGTATACAGTCAGACTTCTCTATAACATCATCCATATATAACAACACCTCACTATAAAAGCCAAACTTCTTCGGAACCAATTTTTACGTAATGTTATAATATTTGTTATCTATAACAGTACTTCGCTATAACATCCAAAAATATTCGAAACAAACGAGGCTGTTATAGAGAAGTTTGACTGTATACTATTTTTGCAATTTTAATAAATTTTTACGTATAAATTTTTATTTTGCTCGAAATTTAGGGGTTCAAAATTTTTATTCATCTCCCCATTTACTATTTCTCATTAGAATATTATTATTATTATTATTATTTAATCTTTTAATTTATCTTTTTATATATACTTAATTATGTTTATATAATATATTTACCTAATTAATTTTTCATCACTTTGACGTATAATTTTGAAAAATTAATTATCGTGCATCTATTTTTTTTATGTTAAATTGGTGGTTAATTTTATTATGAGTTATAATTGTATGAAAAAGATATAACCATCACAAAAAATAAATGGTGCAAATATAAAATATTTGATGTTGCTAAAATTGAAATACATTAAATTAAAATACATTAAAATTATAAACACATTAAAATTGAAAATACATTAAAATTAGAAACACATTAAAATTGAAAATATATTAAATTAAAATACATTAAAATTGAAACTATGTAAATAACATAATAATTTAGTAGCGAGACATGTCGTTTTCAGGTACACCAAAATTATTATAGTACTGACTAAAAGATAATAATATAATATAGAAGAGAGAATAACATAAAAAAGAATATTTTCTTTTGGGAAAAAAAAATAGGAGAATGGTTGGATAAGTTGTCCTCAAAAATAAAGATTGGAGATGCCCTGAAGGAAGAAGAAATGGGAGAAGAGCATTACACGATGGGGAATTAAATTATTACTATTTAGGTGAAAATTCTAGTAACCAACCAACTAGCTGCTAGGATTTCCTTTAAGGCTAGTATTAGTACCCGCGCGGATGCGTTGACATTAATCATGTCAACTATTTAAGTTATTTGGATTGTATTTTAGTAATCTTAAAATTTACACTTTCTCAGTAAATATAGATAATCATTGGATATTAACTACATAATAAAATTAACCATTTCTTCTATTTTTCATTTTTGATACCATTCTTGCCGGTGTCATTGGATCCTAAAAATAGTTAAGAAGCAAAATAATAACTCATATTTATGGCAAAACAATCAAATATTGAGACAATGAATGACTCTTTGGATAAGACTTAACTCTTTTACTACTACTTGAACTCTTATTTGGTTTGTTGATATCTCTTAAAAAATATTTCTTTCTTAAAATTTCAGTTACTAAAACATTATTTTTCAATAATAATTATTTTTATAATAATGTAATTGAAAATATTATTCTTAATTCAAAACTCATTTTAGTTGGTTATCAAAAAATATAAAAAATTCTTTAGCTAGTGAATTTTTTTTTACTCCATTTTGATATTTGACATTAACCATGTTAAATATCTGAGTTATTTGAATTATATGTAAATAACCTTAACATTTAAACCTTCTAAATAATTATAGATAATCGTCAGATATTAATTAAGAAACACTACATGAAAAAAGACTAACATTTTCTCAATTCTCGTAGTGATAATTTTATTTTTGCACTATTCTCATAGGTGTCATTGGAACCTAAAAATAGCCACAAAGTGAAATAATAACTCATATTTATGGTAAAGCACAAAGGTTGACATGATATAAACGATTCTTTGATTACGGCGTGACTCTTATACTATGATTTGAACTCTTATTTGGTATGATTTTATCTTTCAAAAAATATTACTATTTTGAAATTTCAATTTCTAAAACTTTATATATATTATAATAATAATTGTCTTTATAATGATGCAAGTGAAGATATTATCACTAGTTTAGAATTTACTTTAATCAGCTATCTAAAATTTAAATGATTCTTTGGCCGGATTTATTTCAGTATGACTCCACTTTAGGTTTATCGATATCTCTAGCCCCAATATTTGAATTTTTAATATCCTATATATACAAAAAGAAAATCACGTCATACCAATTTTTTCTTTATATATACTTTTTGTTACACTTAAAAGTCGTTATAGAAACTATCAATTAGAAACCAATTTATCTCTTGTTGAGTTTGAAAAAAAAACCTTTCACATAATCTAATGATTCAAAACTAACATTGTTCGACGAAAAAAATATTATATCCTTTCAATATTGGCCTGACTACAGCTAAATGAAGGAGTTTCAGCTTCTACCCTTCAATTTCTTGAATGTGCTAAATTGAAATTAATGATAGCAATTGTATAGCCAAAGTTTTGTTATTTGTTTGATGTCCATTTATTCAAATTGACTCTTCAAACAAATATTCTTCAAGAAGAAAAAGAAATAACTTTTTTTTTTTAATGTTGACTGATTTTGTGATGTTTCTTTCTCCAGCATGTNTTTGAACGGCCATCAATTGACTGTGCCTATTTAGTATGTAGTGCTCGAGAGAGAGTACATATTTAGGTAGTTGTTGAACAACGTCACTCCTAACGTATGTGAGAAATCAATACAGTGGGTTTAAAGGCATGTTTAGATATAACAAAACCTTGATGTGGTCATAATGAGTTGTTAGATAAAGCTAACTAGCGTAGTTCGAGAGAATATGTCTAGTAAATTATTGTAGTTGCTCGAGAGAGAACTACGACTCCTAAAGTGCTCACGATCAGTAGAGAATACATTGGCAAAATTGTAGGGAACATCTCTAGAAGGATTCCGACAATTGGGGAAATCATAACTCTAGACCTCCTTAATTTAGTCTCCAACCCTTTGTCTCATTAGTTGATAATTTTACCGTTTTCTAGTATTTGCTAGTTAATTAGTTAGAAATATAAATCTCAATCTTTATAATTTAGAAAATTGTTCAAACTTGTCTTTTTAGTGATATTAAACAGATATAGCTAAGCCTTAGTTCTCTGTGGGATTCGACTCCGGACTTTTAGACCGGATTATATTTGCAGCAACCGCTTATCCTTTTTAGGACTAGAGTTGGGCGTGATCATACCACTTAGAAATAGCTATAAAAGGAGAAGATTGATCATTTGTAAGGACACGAAAATCACCGAAATATACTGATTTACTTTGTTTTCTTCTGTTCATCTGATTATTATTAAAGCCAATTTCTTTTATTCATTTTATATATTGATTATCAGTAACCCGAGTTCTTCTAAAATAAAGCTTTAACCGAAATTACTATTTTTGGTTAAACAAATTGGTTTCATTATCGGAAATCTGATAATCATTTACTTTCTTAATCAATTCTTTCATCAAAACTTACCATGTCGAATAACAACGACAACAACCAAGATACTCAACATCAGGAGAATGATGCGGGTGATAGGACACCACTTCCCTTACCACGTGATTCACAACGTCAGTCACGAGAAGGAACTCCAGATGGCTCTGAAACAAATAATGGGGTTGCAAAAGAACAAGCACTTGATGATGCCTTAAAAAATCTCATTGCTCAACAAGTCAGCAATGCCTTCCGAGATTTTACCAGCCAATTGCCAATTGCACCACCAACACCAACTCCGAATTAGAATACTTTGGAAAACCCACGTTCTGGGCTCGTTAACTCAGGCACTGGTGGAACTCCAAGCGAGTCTCGCGATGGCGAGTCTCGCGATGGCGAGTCTCGCGATGGCGAGCCAGGTAACATAGTTAATTCTGATTTACAAAATTTAGTTCTAACCTTGCAGAAGCAGCTCAAGGAGCAAAGCGACTGTATATAGCAAATACCCGGAGTACAACATGTAATCAAAGGAATAGACATGGATAAGTACTCATAACAACCATCGAAGCCTAGTGCAGCTCCGGTGCCAATCCTAAAGAAGTTCAAAATGCATGATATTCCAAAGTATGATGGCACAACTGATCCACGAGACCACGTGACTGCATTCACAACTGGTGTGAAGGGCAACGATTTAATCAAACAAGAAATTAAATCAGTGTTGGTCAAAAAATTTGGTGAAACACTCACCTAGGGTGCATTAACATGGTATTCCCTTTTACCCGAAAATTCTATAAATTCTTTTGTTGAGCTTGCAGATTCTTTTATCAAAGCACATTTGGGAGCTCAAAAAGTTGAAAAGAGAATGGAGGATATTTTCAAAATCAAGCAAGGAGATTCAAAGTTGCTTAGGGAGTTCGTGGATAGGTTCCATCGTGAAAGAATGATATTACCACGCGTACCAGATAATTGGGCAGCTATGGCTTTTGCCAGTAACTTGAATGAGAAAAGTTCAGAAGCCACAAGACGACTCAAGGAAAGTCTGTATGAATTTCCAGCAACAACCTAGAATGACATTTACAACAGATACAGCACGAAGCCGAGGATAGAAGAAGACACTATCTCCCGATCTCAGAAAGAGGAGAAGGTGAGTTCGAGACGTTTAGAAAACGAAAAAAGGTCCGATAAAAATAGGTACGAACCATATATGGGCCCAGCAGGAAAAGACTCATGATCAAAGCAGGATAATTCAAGGTACGATCGTAGATCGAGAAATAGAGAGTCGGGTTCGTCATCGAGATTTGGGAACGATCGAAACTCACGGGAAATTCGAGATGATGATAGGAACTTAAAGGCAAGATTTGGCGGTTACAATTTCAATGTCAGCACTTCAGAATTGGTAGCGGTGTTAAGAGGCATGGCGATAAGGTGCATTGGCCAAAAAAAATGAGATCAAATCCAAATAGGCGCAATCCTGATCACTGGTGCGAATTTCACAACGATCATGGTCATAAAACGGCAGATTGCATATTGCTACAAGGCGAAGTTGATCATTTATTAAAGCAAGGGTATCTCATTGAATTATTCAGTGAGAAAGGTAAGCAAGCATACATGAAGAACAGGCAGGAGCCCCCTAAACCTCCTTCTCCCAAAAGGACCGTTAATGTTATAAGCGGGGGTGAAGAAATCAATGGTGTAATGTACACTGCAGCCAATAAAGTTTCCAAAGTCACAATTACCCACGGAAAGCGGGTGCGACATGTCTTAGAGGAAGAAAGCATTACGTTTGATGATGTAGATGCAGATGGCGTGTTAACTCCACATAACGATGCACTGGTAATATCTCTATTTGTACATGATACTAATGTGAAACGAGTTTTAATTGATCTAGATAGTTCCGTGAACATTATTCTGCTGAGAGTACTGCACGAGATGCAAGCTGAAGATAAACTAGTACCAAAGGCGCATACTTTGTCTGGATTCGACAATTCCACCGTTGTGACGAAAGGGGATATAACACTTACTACATTCGCAGAAGGGGTTGTCAAAGATACAAAGTTTCAGGTGGTAGAGATGGAGATGACTTACAATATGATCTTTGGGAGACCATGGATACACGAGATGGATGTCGTTCCGTCTACCTTACATCAAGTTATTAAATTTCCATCACCATGGAGGATACGTCAAATCCGTGAGTCTCCCGAGGATCATATTGTAAGCTATGGATACGTCAAAAATCCGGTGATTCAAGATGAGGTCCAAAAATTACTAATAGATGCAAACAATTAGATGCAAACACTTTATGGTTCTTTTCATTATTTCATTTCCTCCATCCAGTATCATATAGGAGTATTAGTTATTTCATTGTCGTTTATTTGACATTTTAGAAAAGTCAGAAATTATTCTTTTTCAAATCTAATCTTATCAATTATATTAGTGAAGTTTTCTTAGGTAAAATGTTTAAGGAAAATAAACAATAATTTAGACAAATACTTCTATAATTAAGGATATTAAATATGAAAAAAGCATTAAAAGCCAAATAATATGGATTGGAGAAAGCAGTGACAATTTGCCTTTATTTAGGTCCCATCTCTATCTTCTTTAGTTTCAAAGGAACTCTGTTTTACAACTTTTTCTTACTGGCGACACCTTAATTGGTTAGGTGAGAAGTTGTTCGAAATCTTCAAATAAATGGTTCAAGTGATGGTTACACCTAGGATGACAGCTCGACAGCAGCCTTTACTCTAATACACACATGCACGTTAATTCATATTCTTATAACATGCATGTTCATATTTATTTATTTTTCTATTTGATATTCGGTACTCATTTTATGGTTCAATTAATTTGGATTTAATCCGAAAAATTTACTTTGAAAGATAAAATATTTCATATTAAAGACGATTTCATTCCTATAACTCAAAGCTAAGTCTCGGACTAGACGTATGATTAAGAATGAAATTGCTTCCACCATAACCTTTAGTGATACATGGATTGCAACGTTACGTTATATATAGACTTCTTTTGGTTAATGGTTTAATATGCACAAATTGTAATATTATATGGTGAATAAATATAGGTTAATTGGTATCTTGATGAATCTTAATACATGAAAATTACTATATGAAACTATAACACCGGAGGAAAATATTCTCTTGAACTTCTTTTTTTCGATATTTTGATTGATGAGTAAGAAATATTTGTTGAAACATATATATTTAAAATTGGTGATTCAATTAGCAAAACTGGGGAGTGTTCAAAAGATCAATAAACTTGTGGAAGTATTAATTGGAATAAGTAATACTACTAGAAAACTGTCAAAAAGCATCTAGAAAAATCGACCGAAATCGGTCGGAATCGAACAAAAACCGACCGATTTTCGATCATTTTTAATTCGTCAAAAAAAAATGATCGCTAATGCAAAACGACCGCAGGCGGTCGATATTCAGACCGAAGTCGGTAATTTTCAACGCACTTTCACCAAATAATCTAACACAAAATAAATTTACCAACCAAATTTGGTCGGTATTCTTAAAAATAATTTTTAATTATTTTAAAATTAACGACCGACTTCAGTCAGAATTTTAATTATTCATTTTTTTTTAAAATTGTTCAATTCCGATCGAAATCGATCGATATTATTAAAATATTTAAAATCAAAAATTTAAAAAGTTCGACCGACGTCGGTCGGTAAATTTAAATTTCTGGGAAATCAATTGAACCATTTCCGACCGACTTTAGTTGTTAGGTGCCGGTTTTCTGGGTAAGTTTTTGACAGAATACAACTGGTTTATAGCTGCACCACCTGCCAACAATCATTCACCTATAATGGCAGCATTACATTGCTGCCATTCAACCAATAACAACAACGATAACAACTATCAAAACTATATTAACAATATTTATAGAGTTGTAAAATACCCAACAATAAAACGCTTCACAAGTTAAAAGTTCAAACATCATTCAATGAGTGTTTTGTATTACATCATCTCCAGCTCTACTACTAGAAGCTTCATCGTCGACATGGTTCGAAGGATCACAATGAGAAGGATTAGCATCTGAGGAAGGCTCACGAGATCAAAGAATCGGGAAAGCACTAATAGCCAGAAGATTGGCCAGCTGACCTTGGAGGACATTAAATTGTTGGTCCCTCTTTTCTAGCTGAAGTTGAAGGGTATTAAATTGTTTATCTCTCTTTTGTTCTCTAACATTTGTCTCTTCAAGCTCTGCTGTCAGCTTTGCGATCTTGTTCTCCATAGCTGAGAGAGCTAACCTATCAATTGCCTCGCCTTGGACGGAAGTCCCTATACCTTGCAATCCAACCCTGTAGCGCCGAAATAATCTCTCTAGAAGGCCGTATGATATCCCCTTTTTAGGACCACTAACAATATCCAACCATATCTTTTGCACTTCTTCGTCTGAAATGAGTGGTCGCTCGCCTTGCTCATTCGGTGGCAAGCTCTGAGTGTACTCCTCTACATAGTCTTGTAGCGACCCTTTATTTAGAAGATAGAAAATTATTAACTATTCAATATTGTAAATATTAATTTCAAGTTATAATAGTTATGAAACTTATATATGTAGTCTCCGCGCGGTCCTCGACCCATCTACTTGGATCTGTCGGTGTCTTTTTCTTCAGGATGTGAGTCTCCATGAAGAACTTATCATGAGTCATCTTCCTCCCACATTTTTTTCCTACAAATATAATAAAATGTTAACTAAATTAAAATATATAAATATAGTTCGATAAAAATAGATTTAAATATTTTAAGAAATTACCAGTAGTCTCCTCGCAGTCCCTATTCTCCTTCCACCCACACAGTGCAAGGAGCCATCCTTCTAAGATGCTCGGGCCCTCTTTCCATGTTCACTCTTCTTCTCGAATTTCTCATTGGTCCATTGCCTCAATATATCCTCCCATATATGTGGTAGAACCCATAAAGACTTCTTGCCAATCTTGCGAGCATAACAGAAGGAATCAGATAGTACTTCTTACGACATTTGAACTCAAAATTTGCAAGAATGACACTGTTATGTCGGTCCTCCCAGACACACTTAGTCTGCAAATGAAATGTGTAACGTTAGATAAAAATATTATTAATATAATGCTTAAATAGATAAGAATTATATTAAAACCTTAAACTGGTTAAAAATTTGCTCCACGAGCAGCAGTGGAAATTCACTTCAAGTCGCATATGGTGCATCATACAACCGGCCAAGAGCTTCAGTGATTATCTTTGTAGTTTGATCACTAGGTATGAACATGCAACATAGCAATTACATTAAATAAACAAGACTAGCTGTTATAATTCAACAAAAATAAAGAAGTAATAAATAAATCTTACCCATTACCCTCAGGCCTGATGATCATCCTATGATAACGATCATACCGCACTTTCTCTGGATCATCATCCTCCGATGAATCTGATGCATGCGTTGAAGGGGAGGCATCTGGCTCAACGGTACTATCCCAAAGGTGAAGTCTAGAAATGCTAGGAGACGAACTCCGTAGAGAGAGAGACAGGGTCACTAATGAAGATGGATGCGATCTAGACCGCTGCTGCGATCCGGGTGGCTAAAATCTAGATGGATGCGATCCAGGTGGTGATGAAGAAAATGGAGCAGATGACGGGCGTATCACCATGGTGTATGCTAGAAGATTGCTGGCAACCATCAGAAGTGGAAGGATACAAGTGTGGAGTGGAAGGAAACGAGGGTGTAGCACTATCCTCATGATCAATAGGCATCTTATCCTTCCTAGACCTACCTCGACCCGCACCGGTCATCTGTATAAATTAAAGAAAATATTAGAATTGTGAATATAAATCTACATAAGTTGAGAGCGCTTGAAAAAATCAACATGCTAGTCGTCTTCGAAGTATCCTTCCTCGTCCGGAAATTTTTCCTCTTCCCTTATTTCATTTTCATCAAGTGACTCTTCATCCTCATTTTATATGATCGTTATTTCCTCTCTCTCTCTCTCTCTATATATATATATATATATATATGTGTGTGTGTGTGTGTGTGTGTGTGTGTGTGTGTGTGTGTGTGTATATATATATTTTGTATGTGTGTATATATATGTGTGTGTGTGTATATAATTTCTGTTATGGAAAAAACCAAATGACCCTGGGCGGGAAAAAATAAATTCTTCACTTTTTCAATCGATTTCAATCAGTATACTTGATTTTTTTTAGTTAAAACTTATTTTAGTAGATAATATGCAACTACGACCAGGTCTTGGTCAAAGATTGACTAATTACCGACCGACATTCGTCAGAATTATTATATGTGTCAGACGTCTTTGTTGTGGGACCACTATTTCCGACTGATGGTGGTCGGTATCTTTGTATGAAATTTTTTCTTTGACTTTTTTGACCAATTAACCTATGTTCCGACCGATTCGGTCGATTTTTCTTCCAATCAGTTTCGGTTAGTATTTTGTGGACGATTTTGACAGTTTTCTAGTAGTGTAATATAAAGTTAAACGGCAAGATAGTTTTATAAAAAGAGAAAATCTCACTTTATACCTATTAGGCCCAAAATATTTACCTTTTAATACCCATCCCCAAACTATTTACCCTGCCTACCTAGTCGGCCCAATCTATTTACCCGGCCCTGGCCCAATCTACCCATCTCTCTCTTATCTTCGATCCAGCCCATTCTGCCCATTATTCCCAAGTTTTCCTTCTTTCTCTATCAGTTAACAGAGTACACTTTCCATAACTCCATAGCCAACCGATGAGAACGCAAAAGTGAAACACATTCGAGTTGCAATTTTTTTCTTCCGATTCCGTTCTATCTCTTCGTCTAGTACCTAATTTTGGGTGACATTTTTGTTTTGGGTGAATTTTTTGCTTCTGAAAGTACATTTTAGTGAAAGTGGGTTTTCAAAATCATAGGATTTTTATGTTTTCCTTTGTACTTTTGAGAATCAATGTCTATGAGTTGTTGTTTTCTCTATGGGTCGAAAGAATTGTGCGCGTAGATGGTGGCGCTTTGGACAATATCATTCTTCAAAAGAAGTAGCTACTGAATCCGTTGCCTCAGCCATGTCTGGGCCTCGTTTTTCCTTATTTTCTGATTCTCAGTCTCCACTTAGTCGTAACCCTAGCAGTATTCATGTTGAAAACACAACTGAAAATGTAGAATTAGAGGGTGAAAAAGGCAAAAATATTAATGTCGCATCACTCGATGAAACTCCCTACCTATCATTACCCGACACAAATTCCGAACCAGTCATAGGAGATGTTCCTGTGACTGATAAGGGAAAAGGTAAAGTTGTTGAGGATTCTGAGTTAGGGGGAAGCCGACGTGAATCCGTGCCTGAAACAGAGACTCAACCAGTAGATGTTGATTGTAGTGATGATTCTCAGTTAAAGAAGAGAAAAATTGGTGTCGCACCCAAGAAGGTAATTTTCTTACAATTATGATCTTTGCGATTTTTAATGTATAGTACATTGTTATTTTTTTATTTCTTATTATGATTTTGTATTATATTATAGTTATAGTCAGTTGTGTTAATTTTTTGAATTAAATAGACAGATTAAATTAATGTTCTGCTTGAGGTTTAAAAAAATGGTCGCTGATTCACTAGTGCTGTCAATCAATAGTTGCTGTTGTCAACCAAATTTATTGAAGCCAGAGCTGCTCTGTGTGATTTCTGATTTTCAGCTTTGCATTAGATGATTTTGTACGTGATCTAGTATTTAGGCCAGTTGATAGTGGTGGGGAGAAGCAAGTATGGAAGGAATGGGACCGTGTAAGTTATGTGTGCAGAATGAGCTTTTCTTTATAGGTGGCATGGTGTGGATGGGGTCAATGTGCAGAAGCCCCACGGCCTTGGCTGGTGACCACCACTGGCATTGATTATAGGCAGGCATCGGGGTAGAGTGATCATGTATGAGGCGTTTTCTGAATAACACCCATTGTCCCTTTTGAAACATCTGAAGAATCCCTTAACCTTAAGTAATAAGTTAGAATATGATTGACTTATTTTCTAATGAAAATGATTTGTTGAATTGGTGCTAAGTAGTATACAAAAAAGATGCCAGGTATTCAGTTACATGATTGACATAGTACTTGAGTCTGGAAGGGGGAGGCAATGCTATTTGACATAGTTCTTCTAAAAAATTGCATTTATGTTCTTTATCCGATTGTTGCGTAACTGGTGTTTTGTTGCAGTGGCAATGGCACACATGATGTTTCCCATAGAAGTTTTGTGCCTATAGACATAATGTATGTGTGTTATGTGATAGTTTTTATAGTTATAGACAGTTGTTGGAACAACCCCGTACAACTATTTACCCTGTTAGTATAGCTATATACTATCATATGCTTCTGGATCTTTTTTTAGCTGTCTTCGCTATTTGTTTTTCCTTTAATAATAGTAGTATCGTACAGTATCTTGAAAATACTTTATAGCTGCATTCCTTTTTGCTTTTTCTCTTTATTCCTATCTGTTATGTAATAGTAGTATAGTCATTTGTAGTTGCCGGAAATTAGTCAGTATAATTGTATACCCTGCTGGTATAATTATATGTCGTGTTGGTATCGTATGGTAGTTGTGATATTTTTAGTTGGTTTAGTTGCATTTTAAGTGAATTCTATTTCTAAAATTATTTTATATGAACATGTTTTGCAATGTTGGGATTTTCTTGTGCCTATTGACTTAGATTATAAACCAAAGGTTGATTGGGATACCAATTGCCATGTTATTCATCAATTGAAAGCGAATTTATCAAAGCGGCAACTTCGACTGTTTAAGAAAACATGCTTTGGCTATTTTTTGGATCTGCCACCAGTGATTGTGCAGATTCGTGTTATGCACCATTTGCTTATGAGAGAAGTACATCATGAGGTTAAAAATGAGATGCGGTTNCAAAAATGAGATGCGGTTTGTAGTGAATGATTCTAGGTTGCAGTTTGGCTTGGGTGAATTTGCACTTGTTACTGGGTTAAAATGTAAGGGTGGTACAAGTATAGAGAGCATAGCAGAGAATAGGTTGATTTCAAAATATTTTGGGACTGCATCCGTGACATTTTCCCAACTAGCAGACTGTTTTAAGAAGAAGAAATGGGAAACGGATGATGATGCGTTGAAGATAGCAGTTCTGTATTTTGTCAACAGCTTCTTATTTTCTCAACTCAAAACAAAGGCTATTTCACGGTCTTACATTGACTTGGTTGATTCTGGTGATTTTAATAATTATCCCTGGGGTATGGATGTTTATAAAGCTACAATTGACTCGTGTTCCAACAAGTTTCAAGATAAGCATTCTTTTTATAGACTTGGTGGCTTCCCGTTGGTTTTATAGACTTGGTTGTATGAATGCTACCCAAGTTTGGATGGTCACTTTACTTATCATCTTGGAAACAACAAACTTCCACGAATTTTGAAATGGGCAGTCATGGGTCAAATCCCGAATGAGCGAGTTGCTTTGCAAATGTGTAGCTTGCAACGCAAGCAAGTAATTTTCTCATAGTTTTATTGCCTCTCTTAATGTTTTGGTACACTAGTTTAGTCACAGTTGTAGCAATATCCCAGTTTAGTGATATACTCTGTTGGTATACATGTATACTATATTGGTATCATATGGTAATATGGATCTTTTTTCTTTCATACTTTATTATCATTTCTATTTCTAACTAGTGTGCTTAATAATTGCAGCTAAAGAACATCACCCAAATTGATGATGAGAAGAAACAATTTGATGTGCGTGGTCTAAGCTTTGAAATTGAAGTTGAGTGCACTGACAGCCAACCCAGCCAGCCTGATAGCTTTCAGGTTTTTGGCACTCAATTACCAAAGACACAAATTATGCCTGAAAGTACTGGAGGTGATTCCCAACCTACGAATGCTGAGATAATGAAGGAGTTACAAGCTTTGAAGCTTTTTGTAGAGAACAAGTTTGAGGAGGTGCTTGTAGCTATTGGTAGGCAGTCAGTGAAACCAGAGGGAAATTCAGCGGTATTCATCTTTTATATAATATAATACTATAGTATATTGTTCAAAGATGCAATATATGCTTATAGGATACTATTTCATTCTTTACTTTTAGTGCACATAGTATTCTTGTAATATACATAAGACTAAAATTGCTAGTTTCTCATTTTCAGCACAAGCAACAGGATGATGATTTGCGTTCTGGTAAAATGTTGTATATGTAATTTTTGATTATTTTTTCATTTATTTAACTCTATGTATTTGTGCATTAACTAACCTTTTTTAAAAAACTTTTTTCAGCCCCCTTCGTAAATGAGCATGATTTTGGCTTGGATTCTAAC